AAACCATTTCAGGTGACTACCTCTTGAAGCTCATGGAGAGAATGCCAAGAGTGTGCAAAGCAGTAATCAGAGCAAAGGGTGGCTATTTTGAAGAAACTAGAATATAAAACATGTTTTCAGTTATTTCACCTTTTTTTGTTAAGTACATAACTCCACATGTGTTCATTCATAGTTTTGATGCCTTCAGTGAGAATCTACAATGTAAATAGTCATGAAAATAAAGAAAACGCATTGAATGAGAAGGTGTGTCCAAACTTTTGGCCTGTACTGTATATATATTCAGATGTAAGCTATACAGTACACATACAAAATGTTTATATGTATCATCCTCTGATGTAGAAAGAGTCATTCGTGCACTAACATCATCTTGCTAGACAACTGTAACTCCCTCTTCTTAGGCATTTCTCAGGCAACCATTTCCTGTTTACAATTAATCTAAAACACTGCTGCCCGGTTATGAACGATGCCCAAGAAACAAGACCACATCACCTCCTTCCTTGCATCCTTCCACTGTCTCCCCAATTATTTTAGGATAAACCTCTCTACAAATCCCTCATGGTCTCATATTTTTATTTAACCAGGAAGTCCAATTGAGATGAAAATCTCTTTTACAAGAGAGACCTGGCCAAGGTAGCAGCCAATCAGAACACATTTTAAATGCAATAAATACAACATATAACACAAAAATCCACAATAAAACAACAACTATTCAAACATAGTGGCCTCTCAAGAAAAACAAGCACATGTCTCCATCACCACATTCTTTATGGTGTCCTTAAATTCATCAATGAATTTAAATGTTTCTAATTTTAGATCTTTTTGAACATTGTTAAATGTCCAAGGTGCACTGTAGGAGAATGCAGCTTTCCCCAGGTCTGTTATAACCCGGGGAAAACTGCCCTTTCCTACTATGCATCTTGGACATATCTTAGAACTTCTCACCCCTTCCAGCACCACCAGACCCCTCACATTCACCCACCGTAGCATGCTGGCTGTGCCCCGTTCCAGAAGAGCCAAAAAAAGAGCCAGGGACAGGACTTTTGTCTGTAGTGGCCCCTCAGCTATAAAATAGTCTGCTGGAGGCCATTAGACAGGCCAAGTCTGTTGATGCTATTAAGATGCACCATAAGACCCTTTTTTTAGTCTCCGGCTTTTATTTGTGTTTCATCATTTTTCTATTTTTATCTGATTCACTGGGTTTAAACTATGTTGAAACACTCTGGCGCACAACCTCTTCGGCTTTTTAAAGTGCTATATAAATGAAATAAACTTCAAATAATAATCATGTAATGGGTGAGGGCACGGAGACAAAAAAAGAACAAACAAATAGGGTCTAAACAATTAAGAAATGTTTTTACCTGTGAGAATTGATTGGTCTACCCTCAGTGTTGTCGACTTGATAGAAGTCAGCCTGATGTCTGCAGGCACTTTATCACCAACTGTGGACAGAAACAACAAAGCACAGGAGACACTTAAGTACCTCTTTACAATTTAAAAGCATCTGTAAATGGCACGCATACAGGTGGATGGGTACTTTGTACAACACAAGCAATAAAAGCAGATGAGTGATGTTCGGATTTGATCAAACACTTTACCCAGCCATGTAAATGTCCTGCATGTAAAAAGGCACCTCTAAAAAAAGAACGTGTTATCACAAAAAGACAAAAACATTAAGATGAGTGTGATAAACAAACAAAAATCACCACACAGAGACACTGTTGGAAATGAAATTAACTGCTGTGTTATCCCAACCCATGCTCCTTGGGAGTGATAAAATAATCAAAGTCAAGTTATTTGTTGGAGAGAGGCTGAGGGAAAGTCATGCATTCAAAACTGTTAATGTTCCTCTCATCTCCTGCACAGGACGCAAATAGATTGCTGCTCATTCTTTCCACTAACACATGGCTTTAGCAATCCCCAGTAAAACAAATGTAAAATGTAAATATACACCAAATTCCAAACAAGTGTTTCCTCCGCAGAAAGCAGATAAGTACCATTAAAGTCACGGACGTTTATTAGCTTTGCTTAAAAGGGTATCAAACGATTTTTACTCGTCTGTGTGATTTCACATGCAGCTTGGGTCAAATATGGGCAGATAAAAAGTGCTGATAATGAACCTTTCATCTCTGTGGTTTGATTAAAGAAACACGTACTTTAAGTTTTCCATTATAAATCCCTTGTCTGGGATGGGACTGGAAATACAAACAAGCAATATATTATCTTTTGAAAGGTTAGATCAATGGTGAAAGATGAAAAAATAAAACCTGGGAAGATATTATTAGAAGGAATCTGTACATAACAGTAAGGTGGTAGAACTATTATGTTTGTTTAATACTGTACTGTTACAGTAGGACTAAGGGCCAAGGGTCCCCATGGCACCCAAAATCGATGTCTGACGTTTTAATGAAATTCTAAAGCACAATAGAAAATGCCACTGTTGCACCAAAGTGAAATATTACTGTCAGCTTACAGTAAGACATTACACAGCTTGAAAGGCTGAAGGTAAAAGCAATATAAAGCAATGACCCAGAGGCTCTTTAAGAGATCCACTTGTGGACAGTGGAGAGTGGTGACAGACATGTAAACCAACCCCTGGGCCTCTGCAGTGCCCTTCTGACTAGAGAGTTAGAGAGGGGGTGGGGGGGAGGAAGGGAAGGAGGGGGGGGATTAGATGAGTCCTGCAAAACACACAGCCAAAAATGGGAAAACTATTTTGATCAGTTGCAAACATGTGCTGCTGGATTAGGGGGAGGGGGGGGGGATGATAAAAACTCCTGTTTTAAGCAAGGAGAACCCGCTCCACGTCACATGAGCTGAAATAGAAAGAGTGTGACGTGATCTTTGGTACAAACTGTTCATTCATTCCCACAATTCTCATGAGTGTCTGACAGATTTGAGCAACTTCTACAGAGACTGAAATGGGGAGATTCTATTCAAGAAATAAGAAACACGAGACAAAACATCACTGTATTGTCTCACATCTTGTCTAAACTATACCAATTCATAAATCAGTGTTATTACTGTAAATGCACTGTAACGTAGTGATGCTGAATTCATGCTGAGTGATAATGCTCTCGGACTACGCTAGCTCCACTACCAAATTTGGTCGTCCACTTGACTAGAGGCTGTCAAAGGCACTTCATCATAACCTTCTTGCCTTCAAACTAGGAGATGACCAAGCATAGCATGAGCGAGGACATAAAGGAGACGAGCAAGTTAACTTGATGGAAATATTAAAGACTCAAAATCCTCTGGGAAGGTTCCTACGAAATCTCACTAATTAGAAAAACTCCCCCTCATTTGCCACTCACTGGTGTATACTGGGAATAAGGTCACAGGAAGTAGAATAGCCCACTTTCACAGGCACTGAGAATAGTCTCGCAGTGAGAAGACATTATAGGATCTATTAATTATTAAGGCCTTTTAAATTAAACCCTTTTCAATAACAAACATGGCTTATTTTCATAATCTTAATTCCCCCAAATATTGTGTTCACCATTATGAGAAGCCCATTTATCCTGAGAATAATGACCCTATTACATTTCAAGGAGCAAATCATGCATTAGTCAATAATAAGTAGATTAATAAGCTACAATTATCAGCCTCTAAAATTACTGTTACTGTTTATCAATGTTGCTACAGTACAAGTCATTTTGCACATATTGACTAGTTATTTTTAGAAATTTGCTGCAGTGACCCCAAATTTGCAGCTGTCTCAACTTAAGAGTGACATTATCTTCCCTTTAATCTCACATCAATGTTGCTTTTGCTCTTATTTTCCTGGGAAAGAGTGGACAGCCTCCGGGATAAGGACCTTTCTTCTGCCCATGTGAACAAAGGGTTTAATCTGTTTGGGCTGTTCCCTAGAGTGAGGGACAAGTATCAGTCTGCATACATTTAAAGTGATAGCACCCCATCAGCCTGAAGAGACCCAAGTAGACTTCAATCCCCATTCAGGGTCAATATCACCACCTTTCCTTTGTTCTACTCAACACGATCGAAACCCCTTCCCCATGCGGCTCATAGTATGACCTTGACTCTTGAAAATGAATCTGAGAAAAGGTTCAGCTACAGTGGAGAGTACACAGTATCCAACTGTTCATCATGGGGGGGTTCAGTGAAACTTTAAAGGTCCTAAGGGGGTTGTATGTTTTCTCCAGCAGTGACTGGGGGTCCCTGATGTGCTAGCACGTAGTCTGCAGCCTTCTGGGACCTTTCATGATGTCCTCCAGCTCTCAAGGAACTCTTTCACTCAGTTTATGAATGGAAAAATGATAAGATCAAACATACACAGACACACATGATACTACATATAATTTCTGTGTTCTAATACTGAAGCAATTACCTGGCCAAGGGAGAAAAGCAAAGAGCATGGACAACTGAAACAGTCTGCAGAGGACGGGTAGAGACAAATAGCTTGGGTGATGACAATAGACAGACTATCCTACACTCTCAAACACAAGAGGAAATCTGGCCATGTGGCCATCTGGAGCACAAATTATTTATCAAATTGAATCTGTACTCTTTCTAAACATTACATCCTGTCTTGCCATCACCTCCTCCCCAGGGCAGGACAACTATAACATTGCCCTAACACTGTGGTTAAGGCAAAATCACAAGCCACGAGAACAGAGGTGATCAGTCTCACATGTAAAACAGTTACATGCAGCCAAAAGGAATGAATCAGGGGGAGAGAAAGAAAGTGGGAAGGAGTGGAAAGGGCACTCTTTTATTACTTATGCACAGGATGTTGTTGCTGCAAGGGTCAAGGTCATCACTCTGGCAACAGACCAAAAACCCCTTGTCCAAAAGAGGCATTGCACGGTAAAACAAAGGCAACCAGAGAGGCAGCAAGGAAGCAAAGAACTGTCACTGATGCCTCAATAGATTGCCGGCAGTAATAAAAAAACAGCAGACTGACTTAGGAGTTTTTAATGAAACCCTGCCATACACAGGAGACAAAACAGTGAACAAATGGCTCGACTGAGGGACAGAGAGTCATATGATGCAGGAAACACAAGCCAGAAACTGCTGCTATAGCTGAAGATAACCAGGAATACTAAGACAGTCTGGTCTCAGTCCCAAGGCTTTAAAGAACGCTGCTTGGGCAGTGGCCTTCTGTGTCAGATACGGATGCAAAATGCACCCTTTAGCATCTGTTTGAGATGCAACAGGCTTTCATCAATGTCAAATGTAAAGCCATCTGCAACATCATCAGACAGTCAGAGCAACAAACATAGCATAGAGTGTGAGAAAGTCAGCTGAGGGTGGGTGGGTCCAACAGGCCGAGGACTTTGACCCCAGAGGCCAGTGTTCATATCACGTGTGAAGTTAAAAGTCAGCATTGAGTTATTAGTCATGAGAGTCGTTGCTCACTCAAGTCAAATAGCGTGACTGCATCGACCACAATCTTTTCCTAACCCTCACCAAGTCGTTTTACTGCCTAAACCTGACTGCGAACGTAGAGCTTTGATTCCCCGCCTGAACTCGTTTGGGCTTGACCCTTCCCAAAGCGTTCATAGCTATATGTAATGTGGACCTGTCGATGCGCATTCAACCCACGTCAGAGCAGTTCTAATCACTGTCACTCTGTCACTATTGTCCTGTGATACATAACACTGTCATTTTTTCGTGGAGGCGGCAGCAGGAGGCGATGGGGGTAAACGGCTAAACCGTAAGGTCTATGTTGCTTTTTCACCGTGACAAGAAAAACCATACTGTCACAGCCCTGGCTGCATCCTTTCCCACTAAACTGGCAGCTCAGAGCTATGCCACTGATGCATAAGGGGGCAGGTGTGTCACTTGATGCCGTGCCCAGAAAGACAGACAAAAAATGTGGCCAATGATACTCACATCATACTGCAGCAAAACAAACTGTTTGCGCAACACAGCCAAAACACTGAGCTGTGAAAAGTCAGCAAACATTGTAGGAAAAACATGTTTCAGAGGAAAATCATAGCGAGCCTGTAAGACAAGAATGCATGTGTCCTCTGGACAGTTGAGACAGCAGATCTTTACATGAAAGGAGTATATGTGTGACTGGGAGACAAGAACAGGGAACAACCCTTACTGTGTATCCAAAGACAGAAATGAAAAAGCATATTATCAACAAAGGGAACACACATAACATTAGTAACGCACACAATTGGCACACAAAGGTCCACTAACCACTTCACAATAATTGCTCTGACGGAGCGTTTAAGCGTGTGATGGCAAAATCATCGCAGCTCTTGATCTAAAAGTACTCATTGGACACAAACCATATGCCTGGTCTGACAAGACACTTTCCAGCCCGGCATTATACTTATAAATCATCAACCATCATGCTGCGATTCACTGGTCGACTACTTGGTTTCCTTGCCGCTGGTAACACAAACATGTGCAGAAAGAGCTCTTGGGTTAAGTAAACTAAGACAGTTTCTGTGGACACTGTACAACTTAAACAAATAAAGGGACAGTTCAGCCTAAAATCATAAGTACATATTTTTCCTCTCACCTGTAATGCTATTTATTAATCTACATTGTTGCCGAATGTTGGAGATGTTGGCTGTGGAGATGTCTGTCTTCTCTCAAATTCAATGGAACTAGATGGCACTTGACTTGTGGTGCAAAATGTCTCTTTCCATAAATCATGACTCAGTTAGTCAAGATTATCCAGAGACCTTGTTGTGAGCAGTTTCATATAGGAACTATTTTCTTTCTACCACATCCCCTCATCATATCATTGCACAGACGGAAGCATGCATCTATTGCGAGCCCACCTGGCACCAAAGATATGTCTTACGTTACAACTACGCTGACGAGAACACCATTAATATTTGCATCTCACGCTGTGTGAGCACAAGCCTCTCGTCCATGAGTAGATGCATCATCATAGACCAGATAACTCTGTATATAATACAACAAATCAACTTTGCGAGAGGACTGTCCCTTTAATCATCTCCACCCTCATTACTTATGTGACCTCAGAGGCCCATGTGTCAGATTTAGGACCATATTTATGTGAACAGCTTGCTGTCACTGACGGTAAATCACATGGCGGCAGTAACTGTGTATATGAAGCATGTAGCCCCGCTTGTTTGATCAAGCTACTGTCCTACTACAACATTAAAGTTAGCAGGTTCCATAAAGTATAACTCTTAATATGAGAGTTGCAGCACCACAGACAGTGGCTCTGCTTGATTTATAACATAAGACAATGTACAGCAGTCACTGCTTAGATCTTCTTCTTCTGTTGGATAGAAACAAGATAAGGAGAGAATAGTGGCCACAAAAAAACAAAATATTTCCTATTTTTCCCAAGTATAAGTTAATTGTTTAGCGCTTTACATTTGTTTTTACTTAAGCTAACAGTGCTTGCATTAGTTTATTCAACAGGATTATTAAGTATGACTCAATACTTGAATGATGCTGCAATGTATTATCATGCTACAATAAATGCTTTGTCGTGTCAGGCAGGCCTCTTCAACTGAATGAGATTATTATTAGTCATTATATTTTGGTCTATCATTACTGTACAGGAGTTTGTGGTGCTTCACTTAAGTTGAGTTTCCGTTGTAATACTGTGAACACTATATAGACACTGAGGTTTTGTAACTTGTAACCAGAGCACAGCTGTCACTTTCAGTCCTCAAACTGGTCATAATCATTTCTCTTGTTTAAGAGTGGTTTATTCTGTCAGTCATTGTCATTTGTTCCATAGTTGTCTGCACCACTTTTTAGCAAACAAGACTTCCTGGAATCTGTTTTTCATATATTCACTGTCACTTGTTAAATGCAGGCACAGTGTAATTTCACATGGACATTTCCCTAGTTGTGCCGCAGCTGCAGTAAAAAAGCCACAGTCACTACAGGCCATGATGCCATGCCAGACAATTACATAAATGCAGATTACAGCTTGATGCCTCAAGTCTTCATAAAAAAAAAGGAAAATGAGTGTATGATTATAAAAGATAACTTCATCCAAGATGAACAAATCAATCCTACACTTGAGTTCTAAAAGCCAACTAAGTCAGTGAGAGAATTAACAAGATCATATTATCTCACTCAAGTTAGATTGAAATGGTAATTAAGTAAATTTGGGCCACAGAGTGGATCACAGCTTTGACTCTGAAAGAGTGAACCACTAAGTACATCCACAACCCTTACTTTCAGCTTCTGATAGGATTAAAAACACAGTAAATAAAACATTTCTTTAACTCTACCCCACCAACCTTTGCTCTGTGACAAAGATGTCTTTTATGTAAAGCTACATAATTAACAGAAAACACAGACAGAATAGAAACAAAGACAAACAAAGATAAAAGACAGCGAGGTCCTCTGAGAAAAGACTGATCAGTAAGAAAACACAGAAAACGAGAGATGAGGAGCAGTGACGCAAACAGCATAAACATATGTGGCCCTGTTCAAGTTGAGGTTAGCCAAGAAAAGAAGATGCTAGGGAACGGATTGGGCCTCTGCTTTTGTATTGCATAACTGCTTTACTTACTCGGTGCTTTCATTATTCTGAAATTGTCAGGGGGGATGAACAGGATGAGGGATCAGCTGTGTGTGTGTGTGTGTGTGTGTGTGTGTGTGTGTGTGTGTGTGTGTTTCAAACTGTGTAAAGCGTACGTCATAATACTGTTGATAATGTTTACAGAGCTGATGACCGATTTTATCCGTACATCTCTTACCGTCACCGCTAGTATCTGTGTGTTGAATTACAGCAATCGCTTCATCACCTCTTTATTTCTTAGATAAAGAACACCAGTACCACGTAGATATGCTGCACGTCACTGACTTATCAGATTAAACAACTGGAATATATTTGCCTAATCATCTGAAAACAGGCCGAGCTTGATCAGAGAAAAATCTCTGCTGCAGAAGTTGTAACATTAAACAGGAATTTAAAAAGTGGTTGAGTTTCCCATTCACAATCAACTTAACAGGACAGATACTACAACCCCAATTCCAAAAAACAGAATGCAATGATTTGCAAATCCCTTTCAACCCATATTTAATTGAAAACAGTTCAAAGACAAGACATTCATGTTTTAACTGAGAAACTTTGGTGTTTTGTTGTAAATATACACTGATGCTGAATTTGATGCTGCCAACACGTTTTAAAAAAGTTGGGAAAGGGGCAACAAAACAGTAGGAAAGTTGCTGAATGCTCAAAAACCACCTGTTTTGAAAATCTAACAGGGAAACAGGTTCATTGGTATCATGACTGGGTATAAAAAGGGGTGTTCCTGAAAGGCTCAAAGCAAGACTGGTGTGAGGTTCACCACTTTTCCACTTCCTGCTAGGGAAAGCAAAGTGTTCTGTGGTCTTACAAGCTCACATTTGTTTTTGGAAATCTGAACATAGTGTCCTCTGGGCTAAATGGGAAAAGGACAGGCCAGATTGTGACCAGTGCAAAGTTGAAAAGCTAGTATTTGTAATGCTATGGGGAGGTGCTAGTGCCAATGGCACAGGCAACTTGCTCATCTGTGAAGGCACCATTAATGCTGAAAGGTTGATACAGGTTTTGGAGCAACATGCTACCAGCAGGGACGCCCCCACTCATTCCAGCAAGACAATACCATGTCACATTCTGCACATGTTACAACAGTTATGTCTTCATAGAAAAAGAGTGCAGGTACTAGACTGACTTGTCTGCAGTCCAGACCTGTCTCCAATTGAAAATGTGTGGCATATTATGAAGCGCAAAATACTTCAACAATTAGCGTCCTCACTTCCCAAACCCTTATTGAGTGTTTTTAAGAGAAAGGGTGATGTTACATAGTGCTTAACATGTTGTTCCAACTCTTTTGAAACATGTTGCAGGCAACAAATTCCGATTGAGTGTATAATTACAACAAACAATTAAGTTTATCAACTTGAACATTAAATATCTTCTCTTTATACCTTAATAAACTGAATATAGGTAACAAGGGATTCGCAAATCTTTGCATTCTGTTTTAATTTACGTTTTACACAGCATCCCAAAATTTTTTGGAACTGGGGTTGTAATATCGACCAATCAACAGAAACATTATGTGCTTCTGTGTTAGTGGAGATTCACTTTTGTTATGTGAGATTATACCACGCTTAACGCTTTGGCCAACACACAAATGATCTTTATTTTGAAACAAAGACTATCTTTATTCCTCTGATTTTGGATTTAAAGGTCAAGAACAAATAGCAAAAGGACAGATTCTGGAAGTAAATTAATTATCTTTGAAATGTGACTTCTCCAGCTGATTTTTGTTGTTGACCTATTTGCATTCTTTCATAATCACTTACAATCAAGTGTGAACATTCAGCGACGAGTATTTGAATGCATCTTGTCTGAGTGCATGCCGAAAGCTTAGTTTATGCTACGAACTATGAGCACACACAGAAGCTTTTATGCTAAGCACTTTCTCCGTTGTAGGATTCACAAAAATGCCAGGGGGTGGACAAACAAATGGGAACATTCTGTTTACACCTGGGTCCCCTCTTCTTTCTTTGAGCCCTTTTTTTGATTTGACAAAGCAGTCACTAATGTTCTTCTAAGCTCTCCAACAAACTGCCTCTTCTTTTCCCGGTGTGACGTTTATTTCTTTCTGTAAATTTAAGGCCAGATCATGTAAGACTGCCCATGTGGTCTTTCAATAAAGGGTCATGCAGATGTTTGTACGGGCATACCTGTGCAGCCAATCTACCTTCCAACATGTGCATCTTGAAATAAAAAGCCCTTCACATGCAGTGGCCGCTTAAGCTCAAAAATGTGGAAGTGACTTAAGAGGCAAGATAGTGTCCCTTTGTTAGATTTTGCTTTTGCAGATACAACCACTCAGAGATCTGTAGCTACTTAAGAATGTGTGTAAAGCTGAGTTGTGACTGAAGTCCTTGAGCTTGCATTCTCAATATAGGCACACTCACACTTGGGACACTGCGTCAAGCAGAAACAAAGCTTAATACTTTTGCCCTTACCTGCCACCTCCACGATGTCCCCAGGCACAATGTCCCTGGCCTTGATTCTCTGGACACTTTTCCTGTCCTGGCGATACACCTTCCCCATTTCTGGCTCATACTCCTTAAGTGCCTCGATGGCATTTTCTGCATTTCGCTCCTGAAGAATAGAAGTAGGAGAAAAAAGTAAGTTTAAACAAGCCCATTTCATACAAATGTAGAGCATTTACTGGGAACTGGATGTAACAGAAGAGAGAAACAAAGTGATGTCTCAGATATGCTGCTTCGGTTAGAGCACTGTTATTCAAAATGAACTGATGAGTATCTAATCTTTACATAAGCAAAGTGACAAAGAAAAAATAAACTAAGTGCACATGATCAGTGGTCAGGATAGGCAGCGGCGCAGAATTAAGTAGACACAGGAACATGTTGTAAAAGGCTGGACAAAAATGGAAAGAAAGCTCTTTCCTCAGTCACATTCTTCCTTTCAGATGTGAAACAATACACCTTGGTTACCTTCACAATGGGGCTCTTCTGTACTACGAATACAGTATATGTGCAAATACTATAACTCCAAGACTACAATGACTTTCTTCCTTCAGTTTCCCCAAACGTTCCCTTTCTGCTCAGTTCCTTCCTGATCATTCTTCACTTGCACTTTTCTGTTGGTGCTGACTTTACCTTGTCTGACAGATTGCTCTCAGACTGGACAGTTTTAGTGGCAGCTCCCAGCCTGGCTGGCAGGCAGGCAGCACTCAATGAGACATGGCAAGACAGGGCTCACAACACCAGGACATTAAGGTCTTTTGTTGGGAATAGCAACAGGGACACACAGCCATTAAAATGGCTGCCAGTAGTTTACAACTTAAAGGAAGCTTCAAAAAGCACCCAAAACATTTATCGTTGACTCTTAACAGATGGGGCCATATCAATAACAACAGGAAAACCAGCAGATGCAGACTCCTCCCTCCACCTCTACATCATTCACAGAGGCTTTGTTTAGATAAACAAATTCAAACAAGTAGCCACTTACTGTAACAAGTCCCTACTTACACAAGCCTCAGCAGGACCTTCGACAAGCATTTCATTTACAAGACAATCCAGCAGAGACCCACCCAACCTGCTAGGTGTCTTCTTTAAAACAAGTATACTGTGGTGTGATTTACAATCATGGGGACTGTTCTCCAATTAAGTTTATTGGGCTTTTATTCCAGAAGACACTTGCACCCGCAAAAACACACTTGACACACAATATGAAAAGAGCAACAAGACGTACAGCCACTGATACTCCAGGCTGACTTCAGGGGAGACATTATCTCATCTGTAGATATGACCCAGCAATTATAATTCAGAGGTTCCCCTACTTCTTCCCCAGATATCTATGAATCTGTGTGTGGCATGCAAGGTCTTTGTTTTAGTAAGATAGCTAATCTGTGCACAAAACAAGAATCCAGTGAAAAATCTCAGGGATGTCGTTTGTTCTGTTCAGTTATTCTTACATAAACTTTAAAGCCCAAAACAGAGACAAACAAGGATACATCAAACAACAGAAAACATCTAAAAGTAGGTATTACCTAATGCGAGGTTATACACAGTTCAGGTAATTGATATATGGCTGCCTAAATATGTAATTCAATAATTTGATCGATTAGCTTATCTACAGCTCCAGGGTAAGATGCAGTTTTCTGGCCAACTCTGAATTTGATCAAAAATGGTGTCAGTGGGGAAAAAAAAGGATAATTAGATTTTCTGAGTGTTCAGATGAGTGCCTCCATCTGCCGGTGTTTCTGCCATTGCTTCCTGCCTATAATTAAGGTGTATGTAGCCAAATCAATACTGCTTCCCAAAGGAACTGATACCATAAATCCTGGGGGACGGCCAACACTTGGCAGGCACATATAAACATAAAGGCATAAAAATACCTCCTCACGGGTGCCATTTAAAAACAATTGCATTTGTTGCCTTGTTTCAATCTTGAAGATTATATCTTGCCTTGTTTAGTCAAAGCGTAAGAGTTGGGTTTCGCTGAAAGGGCAGATTAAGGAATGAGGACTAGAATATATCAAGTTTGGAGGAAGTGGGGCAGACCAGGTGTCCAATGTGACACAGAGATAAGAAGAAGTGTATTAGATTGGTGTGTTTTTCGACTGAGGGTCCAACAGGATGTGTGTAGTATCCTTGGCCTGATAGGGAAATGTGGTATTTCATTTCTGTCTTTCTCAATAACAAAACATATTATAAACTGTCCCATTCCATGATTCTTTCTATGGCATCAGTGTCCTCCTTTAGTAAGACTCCTATTCAACGTGTACATTCCAATACACATGTGAAGCCAGCTATCAAAGTGGACGACAAAATCTCTTTATTTGACTATATCATGCTTTTTAGTATAGACTTTTAAGTTTTGGAGCTGTGTCTTCAGTTTCTTTTGCTCCAGCCATTGAGCTATTATCATAACATAATAAGATAGCTATGAGCAACAACTAGCAAAGCAAAGTCACGAAGCAAAATTCCACTGCTCCTCATTTTTCCAGCATCAAGTGACACCCCATTTGCCATCACTCCTATTTATTAGATGAGGACAAACACTCCTGAGCAAAGTTACTTCTTAATCAAAGCTTTTAATAACTCACACTTAGGCGGACTTGTAAATGTAATGTGCTTACCTGCCAGACTCCTACAATGGCATTTGCTATGAGAATAAGCAGGATAACAAAAGGCTCCACAAAGGCTGTAACGGTTTCTTCTCCCTCTTCAAACCAGGCCAGCACCTACACACGAAACAAAGAGAAGGACATTAACAATCATTAAAAACACTACAGATAACAATCAATACTGAAGAGTGAGATACTCAAACCATTGAAGTCCTGATGGGATAACGTAAGCTGCACCCCACAAGATCAACCAGAGATAAATACTCTAGCTAGCAGGATAACCACACCAGTGTGACTCTGATTAAAGTGTGCAAGTATTTTTAAAATATACTTTTGTCATGGGGCCTTTCTGTTGACTCACTGGATGATGGTAATTATGAGGTCAGTTTGGGGGATTTCCTCCCAGTGTCTTTTCCATGCACCATCCTCGCAGCTGCAGTTGTGCCAGAACCCCACTTTGACTTTTACATATCTGGCACAATGATGTGAAGTATCTAATAATCATTTAATAATTCATAATAAATACCAAGCCAGTGTTCTGCCAGTGTTGCAGAAACTGGGCCAAATGTGTGAGAAAGCCATGGGAGAGAGACTGAGAGTGTAGTAACCGCCTTTCTCCTCTTTTAGAATCTGTGCCAGGAGTGAAGCGTGTCAAACGCAATGCCAATGGCCCCCCCTCAATTTTCAACTCCAACCCATTTAAGCATGGCCAATCAAATGTCAAATTCAATTCTAAGTGTGTAACAAAAAACAAACTGCACTTTGTATATAACTTTGTAGTCTAAATATTGTCATGCTGAGATAAATGTAAATGTGTCCGCATGTGCTCCTGTGATTGAGAGCAAGCTGCGTACTACAGCTGGTGATTTATAAGATTTGTAACCATAGCTGGCTGTCATCACCATGCCTTGGTGACTGATGATACTCTCAGCCAGTAGGCAGATGGCCAATTGTAGTAGAAGCAGTGCCACAGGATGGTTACCCTGCCATTGTGTCACACAGAAACTACATTCAGGGCTGCCACTTGCTGGTGAAAACAACACAAGCATCACAAGTAATGCCTGTAAGTGTATGTAATTGTCATGCTGTAATCATGATGACAACACAAAAACTGGAGAGTGTGGTGGCATTTAACACCAAGAAATTCAATCATCAGAGTCAAAGAGACGTACAGATATCTCACGTATCCATTGCTTTCATCCTTTAACATCATCAAGTGACATAGCGATCTGTTCCCAGATTAACAACATGCCAGTATTTCTTTTTAAAGATGGGGTTCTTGACTAGTTTTGTGTTAACATAGTCTTGAAGAAAAAAACAGGCTCAAAGAGACTACATTGAGTTATGATTTACTTTAAGAGCAAAAGCATAGCTGACATAATACCTTGAGACAGAATCGCAAAAAAAAAATGGTCATCTGGATTGTGTCACCAGACAGATTCTGGGCGCCTTTCTTCTCCACCTTGAACTGCATTCTTGCTGAACTGTGATCCGCGCTGAATCAATCATTAAAAGCTCTATATACACTTTGTAGGATGACGGAGCTGTGCTGAGAAAATAAAAAGAACCCACTGAACTCATCACTAAAAGGGTGAAGATGGTGATAGAGATGAAAACAGACACTGTGCAACTGGCAGCATGCCATGTTTTAGTATGTTATATCATCCTAAACACTGAATATTCTGTGCTGGAGAACATGAAGCAGGCTCTTGTATTTAAGATTGCAACATGAATGAACTCTCTCAATACTCTAACGCCAAATCACCCAATCTTTAGTCAGCTTTATCTTGAGTTGAGTGTTGCATGTATCCTTTTACTGCAAGTGACTCAACCTGTTCACAGACTTCTACATCTACTAATCTTGATAACGTAGCCCTGAACACAAATGTGAAAGTCAAACAGGAACGGTTGAATTTGGTTAACTAAGAGAGCGTTATCTGGTCCATATTGGTTAAACGAACACAGCGCAAACCACCTGTACAGGTAACAATAAAATGTGTGGTATACTTACAAAGGATATGCAGGCAGCAAGTAAAAGGATCCTCACGAGCAAATCTTCAAACTGTTCAATCACAAGTTCCCAAAGGGATTTACCTAAAAAACAAAACGTGAATTTCAATGTCTCCCTTCCATTGAAAACTATTAATGTGAGATAATAAACATAATCCACTTACCTTCCTCAGCTGGCAACTCTGCAGATCACCCGGTTCAGAGCGCGGACATAAAAGAGATGGACAAGCAGTTAATCAAATGTCAGTACTTGACACACAACAAAAGCAAATTGCTGTGGCAGCAGTAATGCAATATCACACACATACATAATAAAATAGAAGATGATGTGTCGTTTTAACGGGTGAGTCACACTGCTGATGCTTGTCAGTGTTTCAACATACAGATCGTGACGTCAACAGCCTTCCTTTTTGTTCACCATGTCGCCCGTTACTAATCGGAAGCCATGGGCCATACATGACAACGGGACAGTATGGCTACTTGTTTTGTAACAAACCGGCGTTAAGCAGCTCCTTACCGTTTGGTCCATATCGTTCCCGCTGTTTCTTCACTAGCTCTGAACTCAGACCTGTGCTTTCGTTCACGTTAAAAAAGCTGTAAACTTCTTCAACCGTCTTTGTGTGTGCGTTGTCCATGGTGAACGGCCACTTGAGGACAGCGCTTGTTTCGCCTGTGTCGGTCCCAACGTCAACCGGTCACGGTTCTCCCCTTCTGTAGTGTCACCCCGGGACTTTAGACAAAAATACTTGACAATATTAGAGCGGGACCCCACGGCGTTGAGTGTTACCGACTTACTGGCTACAGCACGGGGCAGCAGGTGCCTGGCGAGAGTGGACAGAATAGCGGCTCCTGAGCTAACGGATAGCTAACAGGCTAACGCTAGCTAACAGTTGGTCTCCTTCGGCTCCGCTTGAATTCGCCGGTTGTGCTCCGCTAGGTTTCCTGTGAGACCCTGAGCGAATAATTCATACCAACACCGCAGTCTCAATTTGGTGTTTTCAATATCTTCCTCTTCTTTTTAAAACGGCTAATTCCAGAGTAATTCTGTCCAAATAGACGGCTTAAACATGTGGCTGTGTTGCAGCTCGGCTCCTTTCGCCCGCTCTGCTCTGCCTGTGTTGCGGAATCACCAGCGCTCTCGTCGGCACCAATCGCGTTTGTCCGCTGCAGCTCTCGCGTGCGTCGAATGCGGTGTTCAGTGTCCGCATGTGGAATCAGCTGATTGGTTGGAGAAACCGGAAATCCTCCTCTCTCACTTTCTCTCTCCACGACGACGGTGCTTGTGTGTGGTGTCAGTGGGTGATCAAGACAGTCCACGTTACATTTGCACTAAGTCAAATTCATAAAATCACCACCCATCTTTAAAGACCTCCATGATTAATATAATATTATATGCAAAAGAACTGCTCAACTGTGTAGAAATGATATGGTTTACTCCAAAACGAAGACCAAATAATTTGTTTTGTATTATTTATGTAATATTATTTATAATTTGTGTCTTTATTTTTTCTGTTAAACATTTTACTTTTTCTCTTCATTTATTTTTTTTAATTTATTTCATCTTATTTTATTATTTTATGCTATGCTCAACTGTGTTGAAATGTAGTTTCATAGACCCTGAAAAATAATGGTTTACTCTCAAGTGAAGACCAAATAATTTGTTTTGTATTATTTATGTAGTATCATTTATAATTTGTCTTTATTTTTTCTGTTAAACATTTTACTTTTTTTCTTCATTTATTTTTTTAATTTAATTTTATTTTTTTTATCTATTTTTTTTTCTTCTACTCAGTTTCAAGCCCATGTACTTTGACAACATGGTGGACTTGCCTTATTGTTGTAAATGTTAATTATTTAATAAAGTTTTTTTTTTTTTTTTTTAAAAAAAAAGGCCATGTTACATTTATGTTTTATATTCTCTTATACAATTTCCAAATACCAGCCAAACAGAGTATGCTATTGTGTTTGATGCTGTCTCACAATAATTTATGCTTTATTTTGAGGTAAAATTAACAATGTAAGTTCAGGATCTTCAAAAAAAAAAAAAAAAAAATTAACTTCATCATCAAATATTTCTGCTCCTCTGGCAGAAATGTAATACAAAAAGTATATAAATATGTTAAGCACTGTTTTACAAAGAAAGACTAATCCCGTGAAACACAAATGTAAGCCTACTTTAGAGTAAAAACACACAAAAAAATATAAATATTTGTCTTCCTAAAGCTCTGGTCCTCAGGCTCAAAGGCCTAAGAGTGTGAGTGTCATGCACAGTATCTTAGCTGATCCTAGGACTACGCTCTTCCAGAGACCTTCCAGAGATGTTGTACCTGGAGTCTGCTGGAGCCACTGTCCCAGTTTGGGGGTCACAGCCCCGAGTGCTCCGATAACCACTGGCACCTCCCTACATCTTTTCTCTCCTCTTTCAGCCCTTGGTATTCTTCCAGCTTCTCTCTCATTCCTTCTTCCTGATGTTGCTGTCGCTGGGGATTGCTACATCTATAACCGTTGCCACTCCTGTTGTTTGTCCATCAACACGATGTCTGGTTGTTTAGCCATCACCTGTTTGTCAGGGTGGATCTGGAAGTCCCACAGGATCTTAGCTCGGTCATTCTCAACCACCTTGGGAGGTGTCTTCCATTATGACCTTGGGACCTGGTTATATGGTTATATATAATATTATGAGATTATGGGACAATGGGCCCCTGGGTACAGATATGCAAAAGGCCCCACCATGTCTCCCACACAGGAGCATAACACACAGACTTTGTGGTGTTTTTTTTCCTTTTTGTTGTTGTCATTTTGCATCTCCTTGTAGTCGTTTTGTGTCTCTGTGGTTGTTTTGCCCCTTTTTGTAGTTACTTTATGTCTCCTTGCACTTTCTTTGCATTTCTTTGTAGTCACTTTGAGTCTTTTCCTAGTCGCTACGTGTTAATATGAGTGACATTTTGCAGGTGAAGGCCATGGAGCTGCTGACAACTTGGGCCCATGCCCGGTAATCCAAACATGACAGTCGCCAAAAATCAATCCAAACTGCTCATATAAGTGAGCTTCTTATTCCTACCATCCTCACCAGTATAAAACATTCTTCAATCTTCAGTTCTATTTTGAGTGAGAGTGGCAGGTAAATGAAGATACAAACCTTGGATTCATGTTCAATTTATGTTTAAATCCCTACTTTCCCCCGAGAAACGCCTCCAGCACAAATCCTGATAAGACTGAAGATATGAGTTTTATCTCATATTCGTCAGTGTTACTGGAGATGTCTGTGAAGAATTTCCTTCTACGTCAGACTGACAGAGCAGCAGTGTCAGTGATATACACAGTCAAGCTTATCAGTTGCTCTGTGGACTTTTATCACAGTGTCAGAAAGAATTTATCTGCTAAAGTAGTTCTAAAAATGTCTCAGGAGTGATACCATAAACTCTTCGCACCTGGACATTACCATGGTTTCAAGAGAAGAGACAACATATACACTGAGAGACGTCAGAAGTATTTCATCTCACCATTACCTTGTAAGTAACAAGAAGAATCCTTACAGATGATGAGCTAGCTCTTGTGTGACATGGTGATGGTGTTTGTCTTTTGCAGCCCACAGTATCTGCTGCCAATCAGACAGACAGGTTATTTTAAGACACTGTGACTAATGTGTGCTGCCACAACAAGACCATTGATAAAAAGGGAAGACTACATCTGTGCAGCTAGAAGTTCGGATAACCTGATAAAAATTAAATAAAGAAAGAAATGCAACTCAGACACACAACAGCTTGAGATGAGAATGAAACAGTGCAGTGAATAAGAGACAGTCTTGCATTAATTGCTCATTACTTTGATACATTTTAATTATAATTAATAAACACCTACTTGCTATGAGACAAATTCTTAATGTCTTAACTTCCTGAGACCCTACGTCCGCATAGGACATTACATTTTGGGTTTCCTGCACCTTATAATTCCTTCTGCTTAACTTAGACCTGTTGTCCTCGTTTGTGGACACTTATATGCTCAGTCTGCAGCTGATCCCGAAACAAAAGTGGACAAGGTACAAAACCTGATCAAATTTTATGGTTGCAACGTGTATATTTGTGCTATACAGCATCTATATTTTAATATGGTAAAGAAATTTGACCAATTTTAGAAATAATAACAAGGTGAAATGCTGTTAATTAGGAAGTACTTGTTTGAGGACACTGGGACTAAGCTATTGTATTATCCCAGCATTTCACACAGACCAATTAGGTGTGACAAACTGTTCCTACAGACACTAAGGACATTCATAGACTGGAGTACAGAGCAGGGAAAATGTAATACAGAGTTACAAAAAGAACAAATCACAAGGCTTTTTGATTATTTGCAATTTTGTTGTTGCACAGCCATGTCCAGGCATTGAAATTAACCGTTTTGAGCAGTTTCAGGCCTAACAGTGACCTCAAACCCATACACACTGCACAACAATGTTCAGGTATTGAAACAAACAGTTTTATAATTTTATACACACTTGTGACTATTGAAAATAAACCCAATGGGGCTTTGGTAGCTTAGTGGATAGTGCCGGTGCCCCATGTATGAAGGCAATGCCTCGCTGCAGAGGTCGTGAGTTCGACTCCGGCTTCCGGCCCTTTGCTGCATGTTGTCCCCCCACTCTCTCTCTCTCTCTCCCTATTTCACACAATCCTGTCCATTAAAGGCAAAAAGACCCCCCAAAAAAATCATTAAAAATAAACCCATTGTGGGGGTGTCAATGGCTTAGTGGATAGAGCAGGCGCCCCATGTACAAGGCTGTTGCCGCAGCGGCCCGGGTTCGATTCCAGCCTGTGGCCCCTTGCTGCATGTCACTCTCTCTCTCTCTCCCCCACTTCTCACTCAGCTTTCCTGTCAATTAAAGGCAAAAAATGCTTAACTGTAGCATTGTCGCTTGAGTAAATAGCAATCATGATGTTTAAGAGTACTATGTAGATGGAATTCAAAGGCAAACATCAACAGCAACAGTTTCTCCCTATCCATTTTATTCATATGCAGCACTCTGTTATTCCCAAATTTGCAAATAAAGTCACTCCATTTCCCTTTCACTTTGACAAATAACTGATGTTTGTCTTCTTCAACAGCTTATATAACTCAACCAGCAGGGCAACAGCTTCAACAGCTGTGGGTTTCTTCGCTGACAATGAGAATGTTTTTTAATGAATTACTTTTGTTATAGCCTGTATGGGGGCAGCACAGAAGCAGTGAGCTCCAGTCCAATCTGATCAAGGTTCTGCCACGGCCGTTTTCTTGCAAGTGAAGACTATGTCCAGCTGACATTATGTAAGAGTAAAGGTGAGGGTGAGCTTTGTGGAAAGGTTTAGGTCTGTTTGGACAGCTTGTTTAGTGGCTGACTCTGAGGTCAGTTCACTCTCTTCTTCTGCAGTTAGATTTCTGTCTATAAGACGTCTGATGAGACATCTGCAGACACTGAGAGTAGAGACAATGCTGGCTTTGTTTATGTCTGGGGGTGTCTTGATCATTAACAAAATACATGGTTATTGACACAAAATAAAATAATTATTTCTTATCCACCATGTAAAGAGACTCTTTTGTCATTGAAACCTTATATTTGGGAGTTATTACATCTGAGTGGAACAGCATAAATCTACAATTAACTCTTGCCAACTGAAAACGATCCTTGCGACACTCCGTAATTTCACAGCCTTTAAAATATGGGACTTAACGATCACTCATGGCCCTCACAGAGAAAGCTAAAATAATAATTTCACTAAAAATACTCCTGCTCTGAGCTGTTTCATCCAGTAAAACCTCATCAGCTGTGTTACCAGGCTTAAAGAATCCCTATTTTACATTCAAAATCACCCGCTTTTGTTAAAAAATTGGACATATGCCATGTGATATATGACTATGGCAGCTGGGACCCTTTTCCCATAGGATGCCTATGTTTGGCTTCGGGTTTTCGGAAGAAATCTACTCGATCACCTTATAAGGTGCTATTAAAAAGTGCAAGTGTGCATTCTGAGGCCATCCCTGGATGGGAAGGTTAAAGGTTTGGCCTCCTGGCAACCATTATCCCTCGTTATTGTGGCGTCCTTGAGAAAGACATAAACACCTCTCCGCTCTGGAAGTGCGGTACCTCTTTGGTACTATAATTTGACTGTAGCGTTTACTGACATGCATTATGGTTACATGAGTCATAGCACATCGTGATGACTGGCTACTGTTAAAGATTAAAGTAAAGCTTTCTGAGATAGCCTAAAAACGGTGAAGAAAGGCTTAAGCTGTGCATCATGTAATTGGTTTCTCTAACAAAGCCATATGCGTGCTTAGAGTTCAGGTGATGTCTGGACTGATTTGAGCAAAGGCAAGGGGGAGTCTTTGTAAACCCTTTGACACAAACAGCAAGTCTATACCATAAGGTCTTCAATATGTTTAGCTATTTTGTTTATGTTTAGTTTATTTAGAAAGGGACAGTGCACATTAATGAACATCACTTAAGTCACGTAAATGTGCCAGATTTAGCCATACAGGCTAATTTTGATGGCATGATGGCATGTCCACAGAAGGGCACATAAGCACAGAGCAAACATATAACCATAGACAAAAGCACACAAGGCACATGAGCACAAACAACAAGACGAACGCACTATTAATAAAACAATGACATAACCATATGACCAAAAACATTAAAAACGCACTATACAAAAGTACAACATAAAACACAACATAGATCAAAGCACATGGCCACAAACAAAAAAATCCCCACAAAAGCACAAAGCAAAGCACACAGGCAAGGACAATAGCACACAAGCACAACTAGCAAGACAGTAACATAACCATAAAACCAAAGCACATTAAGGAAAACATACAATATAAAAGCACATAAGCCCTAACATACAGTAAGAAAACAAGGACATAACCACGAATTTCAATCATGACAACATGTTTGATTGTCCAGTAACCACCGTTTTATTGATTTGGAGAATGACTTAAGAGATGTGATGCTCCTGAGTTCTATGGGTACAGTGTTCCAGGTTTGTGCTGCTCGATTAGAAAAGGCTGATTAGCCTATAACACGATAAACTGCAGTCTAACCTATCTTAAATTATATAGATTATTGATGATAAAGCTCAGCTGATGTTTGGCCCTGATTATTCGATGATAGTCTAGTGAGTATAGTGAGGAAAAATCTTATTTATTTACTCTGTTTAACTGTTTTCTGAGTCTAACACCATAAGAATGAGAGTCAGATGAAATTGCAAACCATAACTCTAAGTGCAACTTGAATTTAAAAGGATATTTCCCAAAACAACTGGATAGAAATCCATATCTGTGTGATTTTGCTGCACTCAAGTGGACAAAAATATTACTGCAAGCGGATTTTTTTTCCCCTCAAAAATCCCATGTTAAAGGGATAGTGCACCCAAAAAATGAAAATTCAGCCATTATCTACTCACCCATATGCCGACGGAGGCCCTGGTGAAGTTTTAGAGTCCTCACATCCCTTGCGGAGATCGGCGGGGGGAGCGGCCAGCACACCTAATGGCTGACGGCGCCCCAGACTAATGTCCAAGAACACAAAATTGAATCCACAAAGTATCTCCATACTGCTCATCCATAGTGATCCAAGTGTGCTGCAGCCGCGACATAAAAAGTTGTTTCGAAAAACGTCATATGAACTCTGTTTTTAGCCTCACTGTAGCCTGTAGCTATGACTGCTTCTCTGTGCTCCGCGCTCACGTGTGCGCGCCTGCGCGATACCAGCGAAAGCATGAGCTTTGCTCACCCGTGTTTACATCACTTGACACGTGCACTGCAGGGTTTGACAACAGTAACCACAGAGCTAAAAGATAATTTGCACTACGGTCTTTTAGCAAAGGACAGCCCAACATGTCTGAAGACTTTGAAACTGAGGAGGAACAGCATTTCTTTGTTGAGCCGTATTTGTTTGAGCCCGAGTGTACGGACGGAACCGCCATATGTGAGGACTCTAAAGCTTCACCAGGGCCTCCGTCGGCGTATGGGTGCACCAACGTGACTTAACGCAGTATAACGTTAGTAGTTAACTTGTGGCCTGAATTGTAACTACAAATTATGTGGAACTGCGTTTTTCTGACACACTTATTTTGTGTGTTATTTCCCCAAAAAACACAGATAGGAGACGGGCATGGGTAGCAGCAGTGAAGAGAAAGGACTTTGTCCCGAGTGACTCCTCAGTCATCTGCAGCTGTCACTATATTTTTGTAAATATGACCTAATAATGTAAACAGTTCTGTGTCCAGGCTCCCATGAGCACTGTGGCGTTATACATATGAGATTAAAGCAAAATTTTGTGTAAACATGCAGCTCTAAGTCATTTATTTGCACTTGTACAAAAGCAACATTTGTTAATCAGAATGTGTAACTACACTGCAGCTCGGCACAACCCTGCTGATACACTATTTTTTGCACATTGTGTAACTTAAAATGTGAATAAACATTTATAATCAAAATTAATAATTAAATGACATCATGGTGGGCATTGTACATCTAGTAAGAAAAAAGAATATTTATTACATGGGGAAAGTTTAGTTTAAATGTGTTGTAGAACTATTACTGTTACTTTATCTACATAAGATCAAATATTTTGGTATGAAAAGCTGCACTTTTTATTTAACCAAGTATCCTGTATCATAACTACATGTCTGACGATTGTAACAAAGATCAGAAAGTGAGATGTTCATTAAATTTTTCTCCAATCATTAAAAAAACTCAAAACAAATTGAATCAGTGGCTGCAAAGGGACTTACCTCTAAAAGGCAGAGTGTTGCTTACCAAGGCTGAAGGGATATCTCTGCTTACATACGCAGCTCTCTCTTTACACCTGGACAGTAAAATTTGTAAAAATATTGATAGAATGCTTTTTGACTTCATCTGGAAAAATCGTACACATTATATCAAAAAAAGTGTTGTGATGAATAATTATGAATCTGGTGGGCTCAACTTTCTGGACTTTAATACACTAAACAATACTTTTAAGATAAATTGGGCTAAGCATTTTCTAAAAAACCCTGTCTCAATTTGGAATTTTATTCCCCACTATATATTCTCTCGCTTTGGTGGTCTGAGCTTTATTTTGAACTGTAATTACAATGTGGACAAACTCCCTGTAAAACTGTCCACTTTCCATAAGCAGGTCCTTTTAGCATGGTCTCTCATTTATAAGCACAATTTCTCACCTCACAGGTATCTAATTTGGAATAACAGAGATATTTTATATAAAAACAAGTCACTCTTTTTTAAGAGTTGGGTACAGAATCAGATTCTGCTGGTGGGCCAGCTATTCAATGGAGAGGGGTGACTTTTCTCTTATAGAGAGTTTCTATCAACATATAATATTCCAGTTACGCCACGAGAATTTGCAATTGTATTTGATGCCATTCCATCAGGCTCAATAATGCTTTTTAGAAATACTGGGAGATCTCCACCCACTTCTGTCTCCCTCCCAGCTGTGGCTGAATCACCTGTTGGAAAAATCTGTTTTTCTAAACTTCCTCGAAATAATAAGAATATTCGTGCCTTGTTTCAGAAAGAAATTGTATCTATTCCAAATGTCATGTTTTACTGGAACCGATTTGTAGACAGCATTGACTGGAAAAAAGTTTGGATGATTCCTCATAGATACCTGATAGTGAACAAGGTGAAAGAAGTGTCGCTCAGAATAATTCACAGATATTACCCTGCTAATCATTACATGGTTAAATTTAAGAGACATCAATACAAACTGTTCTTTTTGTGAAGACCACCCAGAAACTGTTTTGCACCTCTTTTGGTATTGTTTACACACCAGAACATTTTGGCAAAACTTCAGCAGATTTGTCATTGACCATATTTATAAAGACTTTACCTTATTGTGGGAGAATGTGGTATTTTGCTTTTATAGAAGTCAAAGTAAAGAAAATATGTACTTCATTATAAATTTATTAATTTTGTTGGCAAAGTTCCACATTCATAAATGTAAATTCACCAGTAAAAAACCTAATTTTATATATTTTCTCCATGAAGTTGTACATTATAGGCTATTAATTTGATTTCTGGCTCCAACAACAGAAAGGCAGTTAAAACTGTCAACATATGGTCCTCTTTCTCCTTTTAATAACTTATAAGTTTCCCCTGGCAAAGCTTCACTTGTGCTTATTTGTATTCTATATGTTCGTTCACTATTACATATATCTTTCTCTGTAAGTCACATCTGAACTGTAAACCACTTTTTGCAATAAAGATGACTTAACAAAAAAAAGGGCTGCTATGACGTATACAGAAACGAGAACTCACCAAATCGCGCGATATTTACACCCGAGGTCAAAGTTGATATTGGCCATGTGTGTATTGCCGTACATACTACAGAAGTCATACAGCTTCATTTTGCACTTTGTTTATGAATATTTATAAATGTAGGCATTACATTTAGGTTATAAGTCTGACTTACGTTTGTAGGAAATAGTACATGTCGTCAGCGGAAGTTAGTTTTATTTGAATTTTCTGTTTCGCTCCGCATTAGCTTCCGTAGTTCATTCGCTATGGCAGTTTGCATCCTTAAACGTTAGCTGTATGATGACTAGCGTGACTTAGCGTGACATGCTTAAAATCCGACCACTACTGAGTGCCTTAGTGAACCGCAGACTGACGTTAGAGAGAAACGGTAAGCAAAACAACACAGACGATGTGACATTGAATGTATTCTGCTGTGTATGTTTGTTCCTGTTATCCCCTCAGTACTAACATATCTCTTTAGTTTGGTTAAATGTGTGTAAAATTAAACTAATGCACTACTGCCCATGTAACATAGAGGTGGCTGTATATGTGAACATAATTATCACTGAAGATTTGTTGTTTTCTTCTCAGGTGGCCTTCTTAAGTTATTTTGCATGATGAGTGAAGGACCCAGAGATGAGCAGACAGCCAAGCAGCTGAAAAGAGCCAACGAGGAAAATGAAGCAGAGAAGGTGCAGGCTACTAAAAAACTAAAAGCAGAGGGAGTAAACACTGAAGATGAAAAGAAATACCCCAAAAAGAAAGTGGTGCTCCTCCTGGCATACTCTGGGAAGGGTTACTATGGCATGCAGGTACAAACTGTAGCTGGTTTTCAACTCAGCTCCAAGCACTTTATCTTTTTTGTTAAAGTCTTTCTAAATGTAAATGTTTGCTATGTTTCAGAGAAACCCTGGAACCTCTCAGTTTAGGACCATTGAAGATGATCTGGTCACTGCACTTATTAAATCAGGCTGCATTCCTGAAAACCACGGTAACGACATGAAAAAGATGTCTTTCCAAAGATGTGCCAGAACAGACAAGGTATGGGTTTGTACATCGCTGAGCTCCTCTGCCCTCTTTCCAACACTAAGGCCGCATTCACACTGGCGCTATTCGATCTGCTTTGAACGAACCCTGGTCCACTTCCACGGATAGTTTGATTCGTTTGGAGTGGTGTGAACGCTCATTCGAACTGAAACAATTAGGTTTGAACACCAGAGTAAAAACAGAAACCCCAAGACGGCATAAATATGGTCCTGGCTAATCGATGAGTCGGGTTTTCTTCTTCCACATGCTTTTTTTTCTTCCTGGTCAGTGGTCGTTTCAGGCAATACCGCCCCCGAATGAGCAGCTGTTGTAACTATGTGACGTTGTCCAGGCAGTTTGGTCCGCTTAAAAAAGTGCAGTGTGAAACTGAACCGAACCAAATGAAGGTGTGAAATCTCTCAGATCCTCAGACCAGTTGCTCCTGGTAGTATCGCTATTGTGCATTCGCAGTAGTTGTTTACCCTTTTCAATTAAGTGCTCCCCCCTCTGTAGACACGTTTAAATCTAGGCTGAAGACCCACATGTTTTCTACGGCTTTTGACAGCCCTTATGGTTTCTGTTTTATCAGATCTTACTATTCTCTTCTTTTTTTTTTTTTCTCACTCATTTACTTGTGCATGTTTTTGGGTTTGCTATTTCCATGTTATCTTATTTTACTTATTTTATTTTACGGTAATTTTGGTCACTTTTTAAACGTGCTTCAAAAAATCTAATTTGAATTTTATACAGTGGGCACAATATCAATTAATTTAATCAAATATTCACTTAACTGTGATGTCTAACTGTTGTATGTCATAAGTTTTAAATGTAGTGTAATGGGCGGTGTTATCATATTTTTAAAGTGTGAGGGCTGTTGTGAAACTGCACCTACTAAGGGCAACAAATTTTTTTGTTTTGGATGCGTCGGTACAATGAACAACCAAGAAAGGACTGCAGAGGAGATACCTGCACACCAATACAACTGGGCTGGACATATCATCAGTGCTTGCTGCTGTTGTTATTCACTTTTTATTATTTTTTTCCACTTCAAACACCCTTCTTTTTGTGCACAGATGCTCTAAATAAATTGACATTTCTTTGCACTGATCTCAGCCTGTGAACCTTTTTGTGGCTGCTCAGCCCAGTTGCATTGATGCGCAGGTATCTCCTCTGCCATCCTGTCCTGATCATATTTTAACAAGCCTTTATAAGTGTTTGCATGCATCATTATTTTCGGTGTGTCATTGTGACTAACTGTGCTTGTGTATGTGTATTTTTTTAGGGTGTGTCTGCAGCTGGCCAAGTGGTGTCTCTAAAGGTGTGGTTGATTGAAGACATCATTGAAAAAATCAATGAGCATCTGCCGCCACAGATCAGAGTGCTCGGTGAGACATTGGTTTTCATAATCTAGATTTATTAATTGGAGCTGAGTGGAGTGGTTGTATCATTCAGCAATTTTTATTTTTGTTCCAACAGGCTTTAAACGGGTGACACAGGGTTTCAATTCCAAAACAAACTGTGATGCTCGTACATACATTTACATGCTTCCTACAGTGGCCTTTGCCCCTAAAGACTATGACACTGGGGATATATCAGCCTTCCGCCTTGAAACAGAGACACTCCAGAGGGCGAACCGCCTGTTCGCTCTCTACAAAGGCACCCATAACTTCCACAACTTCACCTCTCAGAAGGCTCCAAGCGACCCCAGCGCCCGCCGCTACATCACAGAGATGTCCTGTGGAGAGCCTTTCCTCAACAGCAATACTCAGTTTGCAGTGATCACTGTCCGAGGCCAGAGCTTTATGATGCACCAAATCCGCAAGATGATCGGCCTGGTGATCGCAGTGATAAAGGGCTACGCCAAGGAGGACGTGATCGAGCGGAGCTGGGGACAGGATAAGGTGGATGTCCCCAAAGCTCCAGGTCTGGGGCTGGTTCTGGAAAGGGTTCACTTTGACCGCTACAATAAACGGTTCGGAGGAGACGGGCTGCATGAGCGGCTGGAGTGGGACCGCGAGGAGGAGGCGATCAAGGCCTTCAAGGAGGCTCACATCTACCCCACAATTGTTGAGACGGAGTGTCAGGAGGGCTCCATGGTTAGCTGGATGTCCACACTTTCTATCCATGACTTTGAAGCTACAGCCACAACTACTGACTCACAAGACAACAAGGACCAGAAACAGGTACGTAGAAGTCATACCTGATATTTGACATCAGAAATCTGTTTGTTGCATTTTAATTTTTGCTTTCCATTTTCCCGCAGGAAAATGCAGATGTAGGAAACGACTCCGATTAGGTCACCCTGCCTGCTGAAAGAAAAGACGTCTTCTCACCAAAACATTTTTTTCACTTTTGTTGGGATTCAGCTTTCATTTTAGTATATCTTCCAAGGCTGACTTTTTTTAGTGTGATAAAATTCTGATGTTCTTATACAAATGTTATTAATTAAACAACAAGATAATAAAAACCTCTGTGTTCTTTATCAGACCCTGACTGTTTCCTTATGTTCATTTCACTCTGTAACAAATGCAGATGCGCACTGCCGACCTGTGTCTCAGCCCCTAGTACTGCTGGTTGTTAAGCTGTTTGACTCTTTGTCACGTTATGCAGTGCAATACTGGCATACCCATGTGTGCATCAAAAGATTTACTGGTTGCTGCAGTCATTCTGCCTGTTTGTATTGGCTATGAAAAGATTACATCACCAAAACTCCATTATAAGAGCAGGGACAAAATTCACTCTCCAGTCTTCATGCACAAATGTGTTTTAAAGTTAATCTGAAGCTAATTTGAGGGTTCCACACTTCAGTGTTAGCCAAATCAAGTGTCTATGTTTTGTAAAATCTTAATGATCAATCATTCATTAGGTAAATCAGCCTTTTTTTGTGCCTTTTTTGTTTAAGACGTTCACGAAGGAGCATAATGTTCATGATCTATGTTTTCAAAATGTGTAGCACATAAATGCTTTGTGTTGAAAGTTAGGCAAGATCACTGACAAAGCCCTTGATACCAAGCTTAGATTGTGCTGATAAGAAAATATTTTATTTTCAGTCCATGTGTATTAAACTAGGAAAGTCAACATCACAAAACAAGAGTAGTTTTTACATCAGAGCTGCAGTGGTAAAGATAGTTTTTACATGGGACATAATATATTTTATCATACTGTACAGTTACTAATTACTTTAATTCTATGTTTGATCAGAAAGAAATATGTTGACTAAAAGGCAATCAATATAAATGTTAGATAAAATGTCTTTGGTGGTAAAACCTAAGCCAGAACTTCACCCTCCGGTCACTAGGGGGCGACACAACAGTTGAGAATGTGAGACTAGTGTTACATTCCATGACCGCTAGATCTATAGTAAATTAGAATGTTCATCTTAACTATTATTGCAGTCCTTGCACTGCCACGGGCGTGAAAGATAAAAATCCAAACGTATAAGCCTGCTTATATTTTGTTAAATATACCCTGAATATGATTTAATTTATACGTTAACAAAATGTCTAGGATGTTCTATGATATTGGTATATTTTTCGTATTCCTCAAGTGTCACCTGAACGCAGCACTGCCTAGTAGTCATGGCGCCGGCCAAGAAACGCAACGTGAGTTCGGCAAAAACAACCGAACAAAGTGTAAAAACAGCCAAAATTGACCTTAACACCAAAGTCGAGAGTGTACTTGAGAGTAGAAAAAACGCCAACGACGTGTTTGACATCCTCGAGTTCCTCCAGGTAAATAAATACACACAACTAAGACACACTGAGCATCTCTACTCAGTACATGCTAGTTAGCTAGCTTTATTGACACCAAACAAGATGTGTACTTCTATGGGTTTACAAGTAGTACATTCAGTGTGTTTGTTTTCTTCGTGTCCATTTGCAGTCAGAAAAAGAGAAGGATGTTGTCAATGCTGTCAATGCCTGCAGCAAACTGTTCTGCACCTTGTTGGAGAAGAAAGAGCTGTTTTTGGGGAAACTGCCTGGAGAGGAGGAGGCACTGAGTGGTGAGTAAGCACCATCTTCATAATCATAATCCAATATCATTATATTAAATGGTAGGTATGGGGTGGATGCTAGCAAGTTTCACACCAACACTGCTGTATCTACTGCTCATGAGGCTGATGGGCTATTAAAGTAGCGCTTGTATGTATGTAAGAAATTTAATTTAATGAAAGTCAAATATTTTAGTATTGATTAAATAACATCTAAGTTATGAGACAGTTTCCACCCCTCTTTTTCTCTCCATTAAATTATAGCAAACAATCAGTCATACTGGATAAATAGGCAAAGAAAGAAGGAAATTAGATTACTAATTCTATGAAAGGATCATTTATAGATTGAGATTTACCTCATGAGACCCTGTGTCCTCATATGAGGACATCACATTTTGGGTTTACTTGACCTTATTCTTCATTCTGCTTCACTTAGACCTGTTGTCCTCATTCGTGGACACTTTTTTGTATCTTCTAGTGGTAGTAAGAACTTGTTAAGTTATGATTGATATCGTTTGTAGTTTAATATGGCAACAAATTTGACCAATTTTAGCAACAATAACAAGCTGAGACAATGTTAATTAGGAAGTACTCATTTGAGGACATTAGGACTTAATCATCGTTGACAGTGTTTGGTTTTTTATACTTACTGGGACCCCCTGATCCCAAACCGGTAGGAGAAATTAAAAATGTATACAAAGCAAAAGTTTGGGTATCAGGAAAATATGTCTCTGAGTAAATTTTAGCCACTGACAGGAATTTCTTATGTGTCACAAATTTAAAAGACTCAAAATAGCATTCAGTATCAGTTAAAAAAAACTTAAAAGATGGAGTTGAATCAAGAACTTTAGTTGTTTGAAAATTAAATTTCACTTTTGAGCGTTTTTACTCCACCGAGTTTGTTCATCACACGAGAACATGGTTTCAAATTCTCACCAGGGTTGCAAATCATACCATCATTCTGTTTGTCTGTGTTTATCCTCTGTGGTTCAGGAGAGTACAGTGCTGAGGAGAAGTACCGCATGTTCATGCGACACCGTTACAACAGCTGTGTGGAGATGCTGCTGGAGCACCTCAGCCATGAACTCCACGGTGTCAAGGTGAGTTGGCTGTAAGCTTGAATAGAGAAGGTGCTCTTCATGTAATATTGTGTTTGAAAGGATACTGCAGTGTGAAGTCATGATTTTTATTATTTTATTATTTACTTGAGACTAATAAGGGTCACATCAAAGTGAGGCTACATGATGAAACATGTGCAAGAAGCTTTGTTCTAAGTCCACATATTTTTTCCCCTGTACTTTTTGAGCACAAATGGATGGCAGACATGATGACGTAGACTGGTATTACTAACAATATTGTGGAGTCAACATCCTCTTTGATAATAACAATAAATCAACAATGGTCTGCAAGCTTTTATTGTTGAAAGCCATGAAAATAATCAAGTATTATGTGGTTTATTATTGGCTTGTGTACTGCCATGGCGTTCCAGCTCAGATCCCCAGATGCCAGTCAACATTTAGATGTTATTAGAAGTTGTATTTGAAAAAAAAAAACCCCACTGTAATTATGCTGGGCCCAGGGACCTGAGAAAAGAAATCAGTCTGTCTGTGTTTTTTAGTACACATATATAAATGACTATCTGATTACAGGAGAGTGCCCTGTGCTGCCTGATGAAGTTTGCTGCAGCAGAAGGACAGCACCCCCTCGAGGACTTGGACTGGACTGAACACTACAGCTTCCCACGAGAGCTCATCCAGGTAGTGATCTTAATAACTTCCCTATGTTCTTATCCAAGACAAGAATTAAGGCAGTATGTCTGCACACATCAACCTTTTTCTCATCAGTGGTTCGGGTGCCTTCTGATATTTCTGTTATTATTTCATGCTCAGGCAGTGGTGGACAGACTGCTCTCCAAAACTACAGACAACTCCCTGCTGATCTCCAGATTCCAGGAGTTCCTGGAGATGGAAGATGTGCGCTTTTATGTCATGAGCTCCATCCGTGAGAGTGTGGGCCAGGTCATGGACAAAAGCAAAGGGGTAGGAGAGCGTAGCTGTCCTGTAGCTTGTTTGTTGCTTTCACTGTTACAATTTGAATTTAGTGAATATTGCTTGGTTTGCTGACTGCTGTTGTTGTGTTCCTCTCAGGCACTGGTGCCCATATATCAGAACAACGTGTTCACCCTCATGTCCAACATCAGTGTACCGAGCAAGGAGTCAGAGCTCACTAACTTCATGGTCAAACAGGAAGGTGAGACCTGTTTTTTAATACTGCCACAATGCCATAGCGTGAGTTTCTAATTTGTTGAACTTTCCCTGTGTGGGGAGAAAAGGCTGTTTCTTGTTGTTGTGATTTTTAAAGTGATGTATGTATTTCCAGCCAAGCATGAGGACTGGAAAGCTGCTAAACTGAATGTAAGTAAAATCTTTTTAATCAGACTTTTTTTCTGGTTGCAACTGTAATGTTTCCTGAAACCATTTTACATGTTCTTCCTCATTACAGGAACACAAGCGTGTCTTTGAGAGGATGTGGCTCGGCTTTCTCAAGTACAAGGTATCATAAACATCTTGACTGCACAGTCATGCCTATTTTTTTTTAATGTTAATTAAGAAATAAACCACAAGAGGCTTGGTTTAAAGCGATTTTAATACAGTTAAGGGGCACTGTTAGCTGTTCTAAAATCAATATAAACATGGCCTCAGATGGCTTATTGCTTTTATAAAACATACTTACTGCATAAAGCTGGTAATGTTTCATGAAGTCGACAATTAAAAATGCAATAATTTACTGATAACAAATAATCATTCTTCTGTCAAGCATTGTAGTTCTTAAACATTTAGCACAACACAGTCGGCTAGGAGAGTGACAGTTGCTTTACGAATCAATAGCCCCATTGGCTCTAGCACAACTTATGTAACGTTTTCATCATGTTGCAGTTGCATTATAACCACATATGTATCTACCCTCCACAACTTTTATACTCCCTTTACCCGAGCTGTTGTAACTTGCCAGCAAAATCATTTTTGTTACAAGGTAGCCCGCTTACTTGCTGAAGCTACACTGTGACAAAAATTATATCTAGCTAGAAAAAAAAGTGAGCCTAATAGGCTGCTAATAAAAATATTCAAGTGTGTAATTTGTCTGCTTTGGACAAGATAAAAGGCTGGTGGATTGGGCGGCAGCAGTAACGACAGGTATTTCTCCCATGAAGCAGGGACAGGACAGGACAGGACACAGTGGGTACCCTGGCTGCTCAAACATAAATCCCAGCAGGCTCTGTTTGTTTATTTTACAGCCTCTTTGTGGGTTGTGTGCATTCAGTGAATGACAGTGTTGCATACTTCTGACCGTTCTCACCCTGGTAGATGATAAATGACACTGAATGATAGGTGCTTAATTGGTCAGTAATATTAGAATTCTAATGCAGTCACAGCTGTGTGTTTATCTGTGAGTATTTTACAATGGCTTCACACATGGCTCAGCCAGTTATACTCAA